TAAAATAATATATGTATTTGCCGAAGTTTATGGAATAACATGAAGTTTTAGATTCTTGCCACATAAATTTTAAGTATTATTAAATACTATACATAATTAGAAAACAATAAAAATCGTAAAGACTATAAGTATTATAAATAGAATCGATAAATAATGAACTGATAAGAATCGTGCGCAAGGTCATGAATGCAAGTAAAAATCAATAAGGAATTAGAAATAACTAATGAACTTTAATAATAGACGTTTCGGTCATACTTCAGGACTTCTTCAGTACAGTCAATCCTGTATTCGAAGATGGCCCGAAGAGAAACCGAGACGTCTATTATTAAAGTTCATTAATTATTTCTAATTCCTTATTGATTTTTATTTGCGTTCATGACCTTGTGCACGGCTCTTATCAGCCTGCTATTTATCGATTTTATTTATTATTAGAAAATTACAATTAAAATATATATAATTAGAATCTTGAATTAAGATTCTATATAATTTGCCTGAGAAAATGAGGATACTTAAGATTGTATTATTGTTTATATGCTTAGAATTAAATCTTTTTTAATTTTGTATAACTTTTATTTTAAATATCTTTGTCCTAGCTTTTGTCAGAAAAGAATTGATATTATATTCGTTAAAAAATATTCCGGATTTCCATCACTTATTGAAATAAAAAAAATGCATTCTATCATACTTTAACATATGATAAAAAATTAGGCAATCAAAATAATGTTCTCTGTGAATCTACTTGATAATATTTTTAGAAAAAAGATATTTAGATCTAAACTATATTCTATTTTTATTCGACAAATATGTACGCGTTGTTTGCGGGATAAAAGATTTATTTTGCAATCTAATTCTCATTCTGTTCTATGACTGCATATGTATATTCCAAGAATAATAATATTTATAGGATAATAATACAATTATTTTTAAATGATAATAATATAATTAATATAGCACCTACACAAAATAGGGAAAACATTAAATCTTTTACTTATATCTTTTGGTAAATTTTTGGTAAAATGTGAACTAATTTTAAATGACATTATAATGGGTGTCTGATATTGACCGTATCACCTATCGTATGCAGATAGAGCAAGTGAAACCGAGGAGAAAAGTCCTTTATCATTTTGTGATTTTCGTAATAATTGAGAAATTAATTAGATTTACCTAAAAAAGATCGGTCAATTCGCGCGAGTATTAGCGTGCAGCGAGAAAGGACGGCCTTATTAATATGTGGTTGCTAGGACACGAGAATCCAGCGTTATGTACCGCTTCATCGTAACCGTTGTCATTTGTAAAGCGCTCCTTCCAAAACTTCGTCGCGCGCCTAGCGACTGCATACTTTTGAGTTGTCTTTTCTCGCTGTGCGCTTATACTCGTGCGAATTGGTCGATCTTTTTTAATTAATTTCTCAATAATTATTATGAAATTCGCAAAATGGTAAATGATTTTTCTTCTCGGTTTCATCTGCTTTACCTGCATACAAGAGATGATACGGTTATTATCGGACACCCTGTATATATACCAGTCCCAAGAGATTACTTTTATCAAGATATCTATGATATTTGTCAATTGTTTGCGTTCTTTATTATTTTATTAATAAAACGACTACGGTTACTTCGCATTCCGCGTTATACTTCTCTTGGAAATGCAGAACGCGATTATCGTAGTCGAAAGTCAAAAAATTGAATTAAAAAGGTCACTCTCAATGAAAATGGGTATTGTAATAACTTTTAAGTAACCGGAGATGCTAAATTTTTTTATACAAGAAAAGTCATATTCATTATGCCATATAGTGATTAAATAACTATGTTAATTATCAAGATAGCGCCTAATAGTGGAACTATGCGAAAAAGTATTATACACTACTAGCTAGTTTTTGGTTAGAGAAATTGTTAAACGAATCTCTCTCGTGACGGTTAAGTTTATTAAACTCGAAAATTTTAATTAAAACTCCTTAAGAGTTTGTTTCATGAAGGCAACCGAATACTTTTCGCTTATAAAACTTTTCAATTTCTTTGTTTAATTTCTTTTATTTAATTTAAAGATTGATAATTATATTTCAATCTTTGCTCTCAATTTTTCTTCTAAGGCCTTCAAAGTGCCACCTCCTCTTTTAGATTTTAAATGCATCGCGTTGCAGATTTGCATTGCAACCGATCTAAATTTTAACTACAACAGGAAAATGCTACTCTTTTGTTCACTGCTGAAGATGAATATATCTAAATATTTGTGCATCTGTCTGCAATAAAGCGCTTACGTCGAATTTCAAGAGACTCTCAAGAACAAAAACAATACAGCGCTGAGTGCTAAAAGTTGTGATGAGTTTGATTAAAACACACAGAAAAGAAAAAAAATCCGTTATTTGTCTTTCGTACCGGAAAATCACGGATTTAAAAAGAATCAATACGATACTCAGAAGAGAATTTTGTTATGCTGTATTTCCTCTTCCTTTATAATGCGCATCGCTAAAAATGCGGCGTCCTTCGAGAGGAAGATGACCTTTCCTGCGCATCTCCGATAACTGGTCGGTCTCATCGAATACATGTAGTATCCAAGCCAGTATAACCGGTATAATGGAGCCAGAAGCCTATCCCGTATGCTCTCTCGCTCTCACTGAGAGCTTTTCAGTGTTAATCGATCTGGCGATAGAACGAGGTGATGCGATCGAGACGATCATCAACTCCCGGCATCGAGTTCTGTCTTGTGCCATAAATGTGTGCAAGGTAAACTTTCTCGCCTATCTAGAACTATCTTCATCTCGATGCCAATTGTCGAGGACATTTGTGATAACCGAGTCGCGAGATTAAATCCGAGATACACCGTTATTGAAAGAAACACCGTTTACCGTTTACAGTTTACTTGATAAAGGGCATTTCATAATATTTACCTCCGTGTAATTGAAGTTTTCATTTATTCTTTTGCATATATTTCAAATTTATTCTATTTAGAAATTTATTTATATTTTTATTTTTATTTTGCTTCGTGAATATATATGTATATTTGATTTTTATTTATATATTTGTTTTTTATTTAGAGATTTTTATCAATTTCTGTATTTTTTATTTTCGGTTTTTATCTTCGCCTAGAAATATAATAGTCATCTTTGAATTATTTGAAATTGTGTTCAATATTTTACTCGCTTCAATATACAAAACTATATTTATTTTTGATTGCATAAATAAGTAAGATGCTGCGGGACATAATTTATTACTTCTTATCAGATCCGTAAACTTTCTGTATTTTTTTTTACCTTTGCAGTTTATCCGTCGGTATAATATCATTATCGTACTAATATATTATCGATATCATCTTATTAATCTTTTAGAAGATATAAATCATCAGCTCGGGACAAAATTATGGATCGCTTCTTTTAATTATTGAACAAATTTTCCAATTTTTGCGTGATTTGCATTAGATTCGGACATTAGAACCTTGTAATATTTGTCAAAACAGGAAAAATAAAATGTACATTACGGAACGCGTGTCACGTCTCACTTTAATTTATCAAAATTGTAAAAAACGCTTTCAAATATTACATAGAAATAAGAATTATATTTATATTAATACACATGATTGGAGTTTTAGAAAACATCGGTTGACTTTCATTTTGTACCAATCGCATTTTTTATGTAATGTTCGTATAGTTTTAACATTATATTATAAATGTCCTATATTCCTCGCTTTATATACCGACATTTTGAAATTTTATTTTATGTGTGATCTTTAGATAATTATATGGACACAAGATCGCGAAAGGGAGGGTGGGAATTGATTCAGTTCATTAGAATCTAATTCTCCAATCGAGAATATTTTTTGTTAAACAATCTGGCTTCGTCAAATAGATGTATCACGTTTATAGGTAATTGAACGTAATACGGCGATAGGCGAAGATGGCGGATAATTTCAACAACAAATTCATATCCTTCTCGAAAGAGACAGAGGGAAACAATGAAGAACAAGCATCAAGGATCGCCCCGACCTTATTGACACGCACGAGTGCAGCTTCCTTGTTTCTAACTCGGTTAAAAAACAGACGCGTCTCCATGCAAGAAAACTGTGAACTCGAGAGCGGTCGCATTCGCGATAGGTATGAATCCCCGTCGTCTTTCGATAGCCCAGCATTAATCACATCTTCCATGGACGTGGATTATTCTCTCATCAACGAACGCGCCTCCGAAGAGATCAATCGCACTTGCCTGCGCATCAACGAAGACTTTATCGGCAACATCCTGACGGAGCACAGGAGGGATGTATGCTGCAAATCACAGCTCTGGGAGAACTTAGAACTAAGCGCGACAAACGAAACGCTAGCCGAGACGATTCTTCCGACCCCAAACGAGATCAATGTTCTGTTGCTGCAAGCGAGTTTCAGAGGTCACACTGATATCATTCGTCATTTGTGCCAGAACGGCGCCAACGTCAATTACACCGAGCCTAATCACGGTCTCACTCCGTTGCACCTATGCGCATTTCGAAACTGTCTGGACGGTGTCAGGTATCTGATAGAACAGGGCGCGAAGGTCGATACCAATATGAAGCACACGCCGTTTCATTACGCCGCCTTCGGCGACGCGTTCGACGTTGCCCAATATTTGGTGCAGCACGGTATCAGTCCGGAATCGCCGGACAATATCGGAGAGACGGTGTTACATGCAGCAGCACGTTCGAACGCTCTACACGTGCTCTCTCTATTGGCGCCGAACAGCAAGGAGCTGGATCGCCTGGATCAGGACGGATATGCCGCTATTCATCACGCGGCTGACCGGGGCGACCCGACTTGCTTGGATGTGCTCCTTAAGGCTGGCTGCCATGTAAACTTGCCTACCGCCAAGAAAAACACCGCTCTGCATTTGGCCGCGGAAGCTGGCTGCGCGGACAATCTGATTCTTCTAATCGAGGCGAAGGCCGATCTTGAGCTGAAGAATAATCGAGGATACACTGCTTTGCATTTGGCCGCTCGCTCACATTCTTTGGAATGTGTGGAGATACTATTGAAGGATCGCGCGAATCCCAACGCGGAGGATGACGAGGGCCGGACGCCGCTACAATTGGCTCTGGGGAAATCTCTGATGACCGAGGAGATCACCGAACTCCT